TTAGCTCAGTGGTTCTGCCACCTGCCTTGGAAGTGTTGTGAGGTCCTGAGTTCAATCCCTGGTACCAAAAAAAAAAAGAAACTCAGACTGAAGATTAAAGGGTGGTAAACAATACTTCATGCAACAGGAACCTGAAAAAAAGCAAGAGTAGCTATCCTCTTTGCAGATCAAGTGGATTTAAAACCAACACTGATTAAGAGAGACAAAGAAGGACACCATATCCTTGAAAAGGGAACAATCCAAGAGGAAGAGATAACAATCATAAATATATACACACCAAACACTAGTGCACCCAACTATGTAAAATAAATACTAATGGACATTAAAAATCAAATAAGCACTAACACAATAGTAGTGGGGGAACTCAATAGGCCAGTCACAAATAGATGGATCAACTAGACAAAAAATAAGCAACAAAATACTAGAACTCAATCAAACTCTTGAACAAATGCATTTAATAGATGTTTCCAGTGTCCCACCTCAGAATACACATTCTTTTCAGCTGCACATGGGTTGATCTCCAAAACAGGCCACATACTCACTCATAGAACACGTTTAAGTAAGTGCAAAGGATTTGAAGGTATCCTCTGTATATTATCAGATGATAGTGTGATGAAATTGGAGATCAATAGAAAAACAAACCACAAGAATTTCATAGACACATGGAAACTGAACGACACACTTCTGAATAACCAAGAGGTCACAGAGGAAATTAAAGAAGAAATCAGACAGTTCCTTCAATTAAATGACAATGGCAATACAACATATCAGAATCTATGGGACACAATGAAAGCAGACTTACTAGGGAAATTCATAGCAGTGAATATTCATATTAGGAAAACAGAGCAAGCCCAATTAACAACCTGATGGTGAACCTCAAGCTTCTAGAAAAAGAAGAATAGGACCAAGCCAGAGCTCATACAAGAGAGGAAATTATAAAGATCAGAGGAGAAATCAATGCAATGGCAACTAAGAGAATGCTACAAAAAATCAATGAAGCAAAGAGTTGGTTCTTTGAAAGAATAAATTAAATTGACAAACCATTAGCCAACCTTATCAGAAAAAGGAAAGAAAAGGCCTAAATCCATGAAATTAGGAATGAAAAGGGTGAAATGACAACCAACCCAGCAGAAATCCAGAGGATCATCAATACCTACTTCCAGAACCTATAAGCCAATAAGATGTAAAACACAGAAGAAATGGACAGATTCCTAGATATGTATGAATTACCAAAGTTGAACAAAGAAGACCTAAAAATTCTAAACAACACAATATCAATCAATGAAATTGAAAATGTAATTAAAATCTTACCAATTAAGAAAAGCCCGGGTCCTGAGGCTTCACTGCTGAATTTGACAAGACATTCAGAGAGGAACTACTGCCACCACTCTTTAAACTCTTCAATGAAATTGAAAGGGAAGCAATATTTCTGAATTCATTCCTGAATGCAAGTATCACCTTGATCCTCAAAGCAGAGAAAGACACAACTGAAAAAGAGAACTATAGGCCAATCTCACTAATGAACATAGATGCAAAAATCCTTAATAAGGTACTGCAAATAGAACGCAGAAGATCATCAAGAAGATCATATGCCCTGACCAAATGGGATTCATCCCAGGAATGCAGGGATGGTTCAACATACACAAATCAATGTAATACACTATATCAATAGAGCCAAGGACAAAATCCATATGATCATCTCAATAGATGCAGAAAAAGCATCTGACAGAATCCAACATGCATTTATGATAAAAACCCTACAAAAAATTGGAATAGACAGTCTCTACCTCCATCTGATAATAGCCATCTATGAAAAACTAACAATCAATATCAGACTGAATGGTCAAGAAATGAAATGCTTCACACTAAAATTAGGAACAAGACAAGGATGTCCACTATCACCACTCCTGTTCAATATACTTTTGGAAACATTAGCCA